GGTGAGGGCACGGCCCCCCGAGGGGGGGTTGTTTCCCGGTGTGCGTTTCAGCCTACACAAATGTACTCGGGGTTTGTTCACGTCGTGGGGTGTGTACAAGTTGTGTATTGCTTTTGTGCCTTGCACACTGTCTAGTGAGAAAGAGAGAGAGAGAATAGCAACGTGCCTGGGAAAAAAAAAAAATAATGGATGGGCTGAGAACAGTTCTATAGAGTGCCGAGAGCAGTTATTCCATCTCCTGGTGGGCTCTGCGTTAAACTGCATCTTTATAAATACAGACTTTATAATCACTCGTATTGCAGGAGCTCGGTGGTATTAAGCAGAAGTTAACAGGAGTAGGAGATAGTCAGGTCGTGTCCAGTTTGTGGGCCCTTGAGCAATGGGCGAGTCGCGTTCTGTGGCTGGCTGGCTCTGCTGCTGCTGGTGTCAAAAGCCTATCCCTCGGTTTAAACATTGAAGTTACGTTTCCAGCGTTGTTCACAACCTGCAGAAATGTGCTTAATGATCTGCAGTTTGGGGATCAAGTAATTCCTATTTGTGTGTCTAATGCAGCGCTCATCCCTGAAAGTATAGACAGCCTTTATGGTAGGGGAAGGGGAGGAAACCCACACTATCAAAATGTGTATGTTTGGTATCTCTTTTGTAGTCTTTCATCATTTTTTTTTCTTACCCGAGATTAAAAGAAGTTTATGTAAGCTTACATGTGTAAGCTATGGACTTTCTTTGAACCCTGCACACTGAACCATGCTTATGCTTTTAAAATGTTTTAAAATTGCACGTGTAAAATAGAAGTATTCAGTCTCTTTAACAATGAAGTAGGGCATTTACTTTTTTAATGATAGCTCTGAAACAATAATATATTCAGTTGGAAGAGTTACCAAAAATGCCTTTCAGATGTGAAAGTGAGTAAGAATTATAACCTGGAAAGGTAGAGGCACTTATAAGCTGGAATTGAGGATGCTTGTTGTTTGGGTTTTGGTTTTTTTTTTTCGTTTTAGGTGCAACATGCTGATCATGATGCACTGATTAAGTGCAGATCGGGAAAACTTTGAGAAAGACTGTCTTTTTTGTATATCTTAAACAAATGCAATGAAATAAGTCTTGTTGTGAATTGCTGTTTTCTTTTAAGGACATCGGTATTGATGTACTTTGTTATAAAATCACATGACTATTTTGCACTCACAGGATCAAAAAATAATTTGTTATGAAACTTCAGAGTTATGTATGTGGTTTTGCAACAGCAGTGATGATATCGGAAGGTGTTTTGGCCAAGTCATGTAATGCATGTTATGCTAAATCAGATTAATCATGTCAAGTGAATGAAGTTACAGAAGGGATTTATTAAAAACGCTAGTGTGCAACTTACTGTTTGTTCTCGTCTTCTTGTTTCTTTTTAGGGTAGGAGTTTGGTGTGAATTGGCTTAGTCACAAAGTCCCACAGATTAAAAGTATGCCTGCTTATTTACGGGACCTGCTGAAAAACTGATTTGCCTTTCTTTATGGGTTTCCCATCCTTACAGTGAGAGAGTATTTGGGTATGCTGTTTGCTTCAGTTCCACAGCAATGCTTTCTCCTTCCTTAGTTGTTTTGCCCTGTAAGGTGAAGAGTCATAGGGTTCAGTTTTGTGATTCAGCAAGTTTGGTCTAATGACTACTGCTGCAGAAGCTTTTACTTACTCTCCTTTCCTTGTGCTGATAACTGGCATTCTTCTGACTAAACAGCGAGTCAGTTCAGGGAGATAGTTTTGGTCCTCTTCAGTGGTTTTGATAGGGTTCGTGCTCTGGTAGTTAGTTCACCGAAATGGTCAGAAGAGGGCCAGAGTCAGCCCAACGGTAGAGGCAGGAATGGGTGCTCACAGGCACTTAATGAAGTGATGGAGTGGTGACCAAGGATGGAGAAGAGAGAGCCAGTCTTTAGATTTGCTTAGCCATGTTGCAGAAAATAAGTATTCGTTGGCTGTAAGTAATTTTTTAGGTAATTGTTGAGGTTGGAGTTGCTGGCATAACTTTTTGTCCCCATGCACGTTTTCTGGGAGGAAAAGAAAGAAGACAGCAGATTAAAACTTGGCTGTGTTATTTCTCAGGATGCTCTTAGAAGCAAAGAACCTCATCAACACAGGCTCTTATTCTCTGCTTTAAAGTGCATCTTTGTATCTTCCCAGCATTGTTGTAGTGTTCCAAAGTACCTTTCATCAGAGCAGTGATAAATACTGTGTAAATGGCATTTCAAGAACAGTTGTTCTCTCCTGGGTGATACTATGTTTTTTTATGTTGTAGGTAATCTTAGCTGGAATTTTAGGCTTAATGACATGGAGGAAGCCGAGTACAATTTTGGTAAGTATGGATTAAAACTTGTTGTAAGGAAATTATCAGAAGATGATCCTGATTTAATACTCATTGGTAAAAAAAAAAAAAAAAAAAGAGTCGCTTCTTTATCCTTGAAAAAATAGACTGTACTGCCTCTCTTTTTTTTTTAAATTGTAGGGTCTCAATTATTGAAAGAGGAGTCAAAGCCCATGAAAGGCTGTATTCTGCCCTGCATGGATGGAGTCCCTATTAAGGGCAAGAGTGGACCATGTCTGGAGGAAGTGTTAATGTTGTTACAGGGCACTTTTTGTGCAAGTGTAATTATAAGAAAGCATTGGTTTAATGTAAATAATTTAGCTCTCTGAGGCAGTGCTGCTTAAGCTTAAACAAGGAAGTTGGTTTTAAAGCCTAGCTCAGTTGTGCTCTTTTTAGCATCTGATAACAGGATTGAGAGCTAACCTAAGTATTGCTGTCTTAGAGTAAGTATCCAGTCTTACTGTTTCAGATACAGTTGACATTAACATTGCTCTGAGAGAAGTAAATTGATGTGTGGGGTGTTTAAGCTGTTTCTGTTTGTAAGTGAAATCTGAAGCTGTGTGGCTCTCAATGTCTCAGAGTTGGGTTTTGAAAAAATGGTTTTGTGGTGTTTTTTGTTTGGGGGGGAGTGGGGGTCTTTTTGTGTTTTGTTTGGGTTTTTTTGTTTGGTTTCTGTGTTGTTGTTGTTTTTTTTTTTTTCCCTTACTGTCACTTCTGAAGACTTTTCCCAGGCCAAAGCAGGGAAAAGTTTCTTTTTATGCAGCTCTTGTGTGGGATCTGCATGGTCATCAGTGAGAAGTACCAAGGATCAGATGTGTGAGCTGTGGATGAATTGCTGTTTCTTAGCGGTGCATTGGTTAGCACGGGCAATTTTTTTTTACCATTTCTATGGATACAAAGAGGAATTTGGTGTCTGGGGCTTCCAATCTGGAAGGACCATATTTTCATGAGAATAAACGTAAATTCCATCTGTCTCAAAATGCCTGAGGCTTGCACAGTGCTCCCTGTTTCTATATTGCCTGTGTTCAGTGCTGTTTCTACAGTATGTTGTTGCTGTGGCTTCCTTTTGTCTGTTTTAGGTCTTTCACTCTTTCATATTGTCCTTTGTATAAACTTTATGGGCCTTTCCTAATTTTACTTAAATATGAAAGTACTAAACTCTTCCCGATCCTTTCATTTACGTCAAATGATCTTTAGGAAGGTCAAGTGCTGTAGCAGATTGCCCACAGATGTTGTGCAGCAGATGGGGAAATTTCTGAGATGAGACCGATAAAAGCTCTGAGCAGCCTGCTGTGAGCTCCTAGCTGACCCTGCGTTGAGCAGGAGGATACACTAGAGTCTTCCTGAGCTTCCTTGCAGCCTCAGTTATTCTGTGATTGTGTGGTTCTATGAACCTGTATTTTATTTTATTTCTTTTCTTCTTATTTTTATGCATATTTTATACAGGTCTGATTTTTGAAAGCCAAATTAGATCAGACTTGGCGTTGGGAAACATTTGTTTACTGATAGGGTGGTCAAACACTGGAACAGGCTTCCTAGGGAGGTAGTTGATGCCCCGAGTCTGTCAGTATTTAAGAGGCATTTGGACAACGCTCTTAATAATATGCTTTCACTTTTGGTCAGCCCTGAAGCGGTCAGGCAGTTTGAATACAATATTTCAGCTGGAAGGGACCTACAATGATCATCTAGTCCATATGAAAAAAACGAAATTAGCGTTAAACATTTCATGAGGCTAAGGGAATTATGCATTGAACTAGCTACAGTCTATAGAGGACATATTGTTAGTTTCTGTGAGCATATTTATTTTGGGCTAAATTTGTATTGTATCTGCCCTCTAGTAACTTGAACATTTTCTCGTGGGAGTTATGAGGAGTTGTGTGAGTTGTAAAAGCAAGTTTCCTAAATACCTGACCAATGAAACTCCTTATACAGCCATGGCTTAGAGTTACGACATTCATAACTGAAAATATAAAATTCCTTCAGAGCTAAAACATGTCCCTTTTCCAGCTGTGACTGCCCTCCCCGATTTACTCCTTATGCAAGGCCCTTTGCACTTACTTCTTGTAAATACACTTCTAATGGATTCCGCTCTCCTGACTTTTGGACGGAATCCCTTTTCCCCTTGCCTGCACAGAGCCACCTCCCTGCTGCGAAGAAAGCAGGGATCGCACATCTGTCTCCCCAACAGCCCTTAACTCAAGCAAGTACCAGGTGTGGAAATGCCTTTATGCAGCAAGTGAGCTCTCTGTGTCAAGGATGGATTGCACATGAAGGTGGCTTTATGAGCTGTGGGCTACTTAGCCCTGATATTCAGCACGTTGGGTACCTGTGCTAGAACCACACCAGAAGCCTGAGGAGTGATACCGATTGCTGTGTTTTATGTTTCAGAAGCTTATGTCATCATTCAGTTGTCTTTACGCAGAGACTTTGGACTGTGCTCAACAGTTAAAGTTTGTGGCATTAATTGGTCGCTATTCTTTTTCATATATAGTTTTGTCTCATTCTACGAGTGCTCTCTTGTTTATAAGGAAGGGCCTCGTCTCATCTTTCTTTTTATGCAGAGCTGTTTTCAGTCACTCACTTCAGTTTCATAATTTCTTCAAATTGTGCAAATATCCGCTGGAATTCTTTGTATGCATCCAACACCCCCCCCCCCCCCCCAATAGCTTTGTTTTCAGCTCAAATTGGATAATTATGTATAGATTTTAGTTTTTCATGGTGTGTACTAAAAGCTCTCAGATGTAGCAAATAGGCTGTAATTAAGGGTACATTGTTGACGTCCATCATTTAGCCCTCTCCCCTTCCCAGAGCTGGGCCTTGAACAGAACTATGGTGGCTGGTGAGTGCTACAGAACTTGTTCATGAAGAAGTGCCGGTCCTCAGAGCAGTTTGTGGTAGGGCTTATGCTTCAGAACATGGTAATGCTGTTTCTTGTGACTTCCTGTATTATCTTATTTTTGGTCCATGATCTCATTGCAATTACTGAGACGTGGTGGGATGGCTCACATGAGTGGAACACTGTCATGGAGGGCTATGTTCTCTTTAGGAAGGATAGGCTGGCGAGGCGAGGTGGTGGAGTTGCTCTTTATGTGAAAGAGCAACTGGAATGTATCGAGCTCTCCCTGGGAACAGATGAAGAGCAAGTTGAGACCTTGTGGGTAAGGATCAAGGGGCAGGGTAATATGAGAGACACAGTTGTGGGTGTCTATTACAGGTCACCTGATCAGGATGGGGAAGTTGATGAGGCCTTCTACAGACAGGTGAGAATCGCCTCACAATCACAGGCCTTGATTCTCATGGGGGACTTCAACTACCCTGATATCTGCTGGGAAGGCCACACAGCTGGGCACGTACAGTCCAGGAGGTTCCTCCAGTGCATTGATGACAACTTTTTGACTCAGGTGGTGGAGGAACCTACAAGGAGAGGTGCTTTACTGGACCTGATACTCACAAACAAAGAGGGACTGGTGGAGGATGTAAAGGTTGGGGGCAGACTGGGCTGCAGCGATCATGAGAAGATAGAGTTCAGGATTAAGTGTAGAATAGACAAAATGACAAGTAGAGTTGAAACCCTAAACTTCAGGAGGGCTAAATTTGATCGTTTCAAAGAATTGCTTGGGCAAATCCCATGGGAAAGGGCTCTAGAGGGTAAGGGGGCTCTAGAGAGCTGGCTGCTATTTAAGCGTCACCTCCTCCAAGCTCAGGATCAGTGCATCCCAAAGAGAAAGAAATCAGGCAAGGGGAGAAGGAGACCTGCTTGGCTGAGCAGGGACCTTCTGAAAAGGCTCAGGTGGAAGAAGGGAGTTTACAATAGGTGGAAGAAGGGGCTGACTGCTTGGGAGGAATACAAGAATGCTGTCAGGGTATGCAGGGAGGAAACAAGGAAAGCCAAGGCAGCCTTGGAATTGAACCTGGCGAGGGATGTCAAGGCCAACAGGAAGGGTTTCTTTAAGTATATAGGAGACAAAAGGAAAACTAGGGAAAATGTGGGCCCGTTGTTGAATGAGACAGGTGCTGTGGTGACGGATGATGCAGAGAAGGCGGAGTTGCTAAATGCCTTCTTTGCTTCTGTCTTCACTGTTCGGGCCAGTCCTTGTGAGACCCCGACTTTGCAGGTAACAGAGAAAGTCTGGGGGAAACAAGACTATCCCTTGGTTGACAAGGAGCACGTTAAAGATCAGTTAGATAAATTGGATATACATAAATCCATGGGGCCTGATGGGATGCACCCTCGGGTGCTGAGGGAGCTGGGGGAAGTCATTGCTGGGCCTCTCTCCATTATCTTTGAAAGGTCCTGGAGGACAGGTGAGGTGCCTGAGGACTGGAGGATAGCCAATGTCACTCCAGTCTTCAAAAAGGGCAGGAAGGATGACCCGGGAAACTACAGGCCGGTCAGCCTCACCTCCATCCCTGGGAAGATGATGGAGCAGCTTGTTCTGGGAGTCATCTCAAAGCACCTGGATGAAAAGAAGATTATCAGAAGTAGTCAACATGGATTCACCAAGGGGAAGTCATGTCTGACTAATCTGATAGCCTTCTATGACAAAGTAACTAGATGGGTGGATGAGGGGAGGGCAGTGGATGTTGTCTACCTTGACTTTGGCAAGGCTTTCGACACTGTCTCCCACATCATCCTCACAGGAAAGCTTAGGAAGTGTGGCTTAGATGAATGGACGGTGAGGTGGATTGAGAACTGGCTCACAGATAGAGCTCAGAGGGTTGTGGTTAGTGGCGCAGAGTCTAGTTGGAGGTTAGTAACAAGTGGTGTCCCTCAGGGGTCAGTACTGGGCCCAGTTTTGTTCAACATATTCATCAATGATCTGGATGAAGGGATAGAGTGTACCATCAGCAAGTTTGCTGATGACACAAAACTGGGAGGAGTGGCTGACACGCCAGAAGGCTGTGCTGCCTTACAGCGTGACCTCGCCAGGCTGGAGAGTTGGGCAGAAAGAAACCTTATGAAGTTCAACAAGGGTAAGTGTAGGGTACTGCACCTGGGGAGGAATAACCCCATGCACCAGTACAGGTTGGGGGCTGACCTCCTGGAGAGCAGCTCTGTGGAGAGGGACCTGGGAGTCCTGGTGGACAACAGGATGACCATGAGCCAGCAATGTGCCCTGGCGGCCAAGAAGGCGAATGGCATCCTGGGGTGCATCAAGAAGAGTGTGGCCAGCAGGTCGAGGGAGGTCATCCTCCCCCTCTACTCTGCCCTGGTGAGACCGCATCTGGAGTACTGTGTCCAGTTCTGGGCTCCCCAGTTCAAGAAAGACAGGGAACTGCTGGAGAGGGTCCAGCAAAGGGCAACAAAGATGATTAGGGGACTGGAGCACCTTTCTTATGAGGAAAGGCTGAGGGACTTGGGTCTCTTTAGTCTAGAGAAAAGAAGATTGAGGGGGGATCTTATTAATACATACAAATACTTAATGGGAGGATGCCAGGGGGATGGGAGTAGTCTTTTTTCAGTGGCACCCAGTGATAGGACGAGGGGTAATGGGCATAAACTTGAACATAGGAAGTTCCATCTTAACATGAGAAGGAACTTCTTTACTTTGAGGGTAGTGGAGCACTGGAACAGGCTGCCCTGGACGCTGCTGTGCAACCTGCTGTAGGTGACCCTGCTCTGGCAGGGGGGTTGGACTAGATGATCTCCAGAGGTCCCTTCCAACCCTGACCATTCTGTGATTCTGTGATTCTGTGGTTTTGATTGGCAGTTTGCAGTACTTAAGGAACCTTACAGTGCAATTCACGTTTATCTTTGCCCCCTGTAAAATATTAATTCTTTCTAAAAGAAACCCATTTGCTACTCTGATTCGGGGTTTCAGGATCCAGGATTTTCATCTCTGGAGTATGCCCATTTGCCTCCAGCTCCTTTACGTGGCAGCAGTCTAGCTCCTCCAGTAGAAGTGCGGTGTCTTGGCTCACAAAACATTTCTTTCCATCTTCCCCCTTTAGCTGATGATTTCCTACTGCCTGGGTTTGTTTCTTTAAGAACAGCCAGGCTGTCCTGCGGCTGCCACTGCAATCTGAGGCCTTGATCGTGGGGAAAAACAACCAACTGTTTTTTTTTCCCCCATGACGGCAGGGCTCTGATGCTGCTGGTGCTTGGAGAAAGCACAAGGCTGGGATGTCGTGAGGAAAGAGCTGGGGATGCAGCGTCAAAGGCAGAGCTGCTGTGTTTTGGTCCCTCATGTTTCTCCCCCGGAGGGGAGAAAGGAAGGGAAACACATTCGTTACAGCTGTGGTGGCTGGACTGGTGTGTGCATATGAAAGCGAAAGCCATTCCCCTCTGTAGTAGGTAGATATTAGCTTCAACGGCAGCAGCAGCAGGACGACAAGCAGTCCACCCACACAGAATGAATGATAGGGTCAGAGTCTTATCATGCAAGTTTACGCTGCTGGATAAACTTTCAGTCCTCAAAGTGCATAATGATTTTTTACCTGGAAGAAATCATCCATGCAAGGCACTAGCAAATACTGTGTGTTAGGATACACTTTGCTTTCCTATAGTTTAATTCATATAAATGTTCCTCAAGACTTTTGCGGCTGCTCACAGTCCATGTGTATCTAATGCTCAGAAGATGAGGGCTGTGAGCCAAACTAAAGCCATAATTTGAGTTGTGTCCTTTTTTTATCACTGCAGTTAAGACTAGTTACCTCTGTCTTGGCTTTTAAAATAGCATGTTTGCCTTTGCCTGTTTATTCTAAGTTGAGGAGTACTTTTCTCCTGGTTTACCTGTGGGTGGGATCGTCTTTCACTGGGATAAAGCGGACCCCTTGTTTTTACTGCTAGGTGAGTAGCGATGGAGAAGTTGTTTCAATTTGCATCTGCGGGAGAATAGATCTTACAAGCCGACAGAGTACGTGTTAGATAAGTGGACAGTAAGATGGATTGAAAACTGGCTGAATGGCCGGGCCCACAGGGTTGTGGTCAGTGGCACAAAGCCCAGCCAGAGGCCAGTCAGCAGCGTTGTGCCCTAGGGGTGGATACTGGGGGCAATACCACTTAATGGCTTGATTAATGGTCTGTACAGTGGGATAGAGTGCAGTCTCAGCAAGTTCACAGGTGATACAAAACTGGGAGGCACGACTGATAGGTGAAATGTTGTCATTCAGAGGGACCTGGACAGGCTGGAGAAATGGGCTAAGAGAAATCTCATGAAGCTCAAGAAGGGGAAATGCAAAGTCCTACCTGTGCAGGGAAATGACCGTAGGCACTAGCACACTCTGGGGAACAACTTGCTGGAAAGCAGCTCTGCGGAGAAGAACCTGGGGATCCTGGTGAACAACAAGCTGACCATGAGACAGCAAAGTGCTCTTGTGGCAAAGGCGGCTAATGGTGTCCTGGGCTGCATTAGGCAGAGACTTGCCAGCAGGTGGAGGGAGGTGATCCTTTCCCTCTCCATGCACTGGTGAGGTAACATCTGGAGTGCTTCGTCCAGTTCTGGCCTCCCCAGTACAAGAGAGACATGGGCATACTGGAGCAAGTCCAGTGAAGGGCTGCAAAGATGATGAAAGGGCTGGAGCATCTCTCCTTTGAGGAGAGGCTGAGAAAGCTGGGACTGTTCAGCCTGGAGAAGGAAAGGCTCACGAGAGGGATCTCCATCTCTATAAACAGCTGAAGTGGGGGGATGAAGAAGAGGAAGCTAGACCTTTCTCAGTACTGACAGGACAGGAGGCTATGGGCACATCTGAAAAAAATAGGGAATTCCATCTGAACACAAAAGACAACTGTTTCACTGTGAGGATGGTAAAAAAAATGGTGTAGGTTACCCAGAGGGGTTGTGAAGTGTCCATCTGTAGAGATACTCAAAACCAAGTAGGCATGGTCTTTAGCAGGCTGTTGCAGATGACCCTGCTCGAGCAGAGGCTTGGACTAAATGGTCTCAAGAGGTTTTTTGTTAATCTTTCTTGACTTACTACTTTGGAAAAGTAACTTCTTTGCTCAGGACCTCCATTTCTTCATCAGTTGAAAGAGGACAAATCTACTTCTTGTTCTCCTTAATATAGTTTCTTGAGACTTGTGCTGTAAAGACGTTTTATATTGAAACAGCTTCTATTTCACTTTGTTAACTGAAATTAGCCAGTTTTATGTGCCCTGTGTTGAACATAGATGAAAAGCTTTCTTTGTACGAAATACCCGCGCCTACCAATTTTCTTTTTCTCAAAAGTAGTTTTAATCAAAAGTGTAACTGAGATAATCTAGATAAAAGCATAAATAATGGCATTGATTCATTTGAGTGCTGAGCAAGGAGTTAATTAAAAAAAAAATATTAAATTCTGTGTTTGTACAGAAAAACAAATGGCACTTAAGATGCTTACTAACATTAAAAAACTCTTATCTGTGGTTTCATGATATTTATAAAGCTAGGAGAAAATACTGTTCCTCGTAATATTGATTGTTCTCAGCAAGTCGAACAGAAAATGGTCCAAATCCTCTTCAGAGAAGTACTAACAGCTACTTTAATTATTGGGTTTTTTTGAGGTTAAAACCTACCTTACGTGGTAATGTTATGGTCAAGCTTCTATAAAGCCTACTAGTAATGAGATGTTGTAATTTAAGGAATGAGGTTGCACAGTAATGCTCTTTGACTCATGTCCATTCAGGGGTGATTATTTTTCCGTGAACCTCAGTAAACAGGATCGTAATTTGTGCAACAGGTCTGGTTTATTTTTGGTCCAGCTTCCTAGGTAGCTAACCATGGTACGTCAGCTAAATTAAATTGGAAAGTGATTACTCTCTTTGTGTATGTTAGGGAGTCCTTGTTGCTGGATCTGCTGTAAAGCTATCTGGAGCAGAACTGAGTCATGGGGAGTTTTGAAAAGAAGGGGACTGTCATTCCCAGCCTCAGTTTGGGATTGGGATTTGCACTGCCATAGGTTCCTTGAGTTGTGTTTGTGATCCTGTTCTCATTGCGGTTAACTTTGTTTTGCTGTTCCAGGCTAACCTATTTGTTCTGCTGTCTGTCATCTGTGTTCTGCTGAACCTGGCTGGATTTATATTAGGACGTCAAGGCATTCAGTTTGTGTCCAGCGTGCCCAAATGCGATTTGGTGAGCAGACATACTGATTTACATATACTTCTTCACAACATGCCACGTAAGCTTGCTGTGCTGGGATCACAAAATGTGCTAATGGAGAGATGCAAGTAATGCAGCTGCAGCGTGGTGAGGGAAAAAAGAAAACTCTTTGTTTCAGGCTTTGATTCAGTTCAAATTGTGAACAGACTCACTGAAACAGTAATTTTATTGTCTGCGTTCCTATACCCTTGTTTTTTTGAGTTGGAGTCTTCCTAAAGCCGAAGACTCTAGAAGGATATGTTTTGAAAGGTTTTACTCTTCATTAGAAGAGCATTCTTAGCCCAGAAATTATTTTGTTTTACTTTATTGAGACCTGGCCTCTGTCTTCAGGGTCTGAAGACACAGCTGATTTGGTACAAGGCTTTCTAGACAATTTTATGAGGCCATGTAGGAGGGAATCAAAGATACTTCTTTGGAAAATCCCTCTTGCCAGCGCTAAACACTGATTTTAATATCATAGTCATTTAAGAACTAGGATAGAGGATTTTTATTGTAATATGACAAAGATAAAGTGTAGAAAAAAGCCTGAGTGGGTACTGGTGAAATACCTACAAAAAGCTCAGTCAGTATAATCTGTGGGTGGGATTATTTTTCCTGTCTTGCCAAACCTGGTGAGGACAATTTGCATTGATACCTTACAGGAAGAACTGTGAGGAAAAAATTAAGGTAGATCAAATCATACTAGCTTTTCAGAACACTTCTACTTGAGCAAGAAGCAATCTGCACAAGAAAGGACAGAATGAAAAGATTTTTCTCAAATGGGTGTCATAGAAAGTAGAAGAATGTCTGTCTATGAACCAGAAACCATGGAATAATTGAATTTGAAGGATACAGGGTCACTTGGTGATGAAGATGATCATATGTAAAGGACTTTAAAGGGTTAATGGAAAAATCTTTGAATATTTATTTTCAGTCATGTATTGCTTCAAAAAAGCTATTCTTGGTTCCTTAACATGCCTATAGGTGTATGGCAGTGAGAGTCCAAGATTACAAGCACTTGGCAATCTAGATTCACCCAGTATCAATGTACTGAAGCACTGCTGAGAACTGTTAATGTTATTCTAGACGAAACGGTTAAACATTTCAGGAATTTCGGAGCCTTCTGTAGTTGGAAGCATAGGGTACAGCTGAAAGGCATTCCTGAAGTCATAAATTATTCTGTAGAGTGATTTATGTAGGTAGAAGATCTTTGACATTATGACTCTCGAGAGTTTGGCAGCTAAAAACCCAATTAGCTCTAAATACAGAAACATTGAATTTCTACTTGAAAACTGAGATGACAACATTAATTTGAAAATTACAAACAATGGTCCACAGATGTAACTATTACTGATTTGTTGGGGTGGAAATTATAGTTGTGGGTTTCATTCCATCCGTTGAGATGCAAAATATACTAGTGAATCAAAGAAAATGTGTACACTCCATATACAGTGGCTTACACATCAGTCAAGAAAGAGTTTTCAGGCTGCTATGCATTTGAAAGAGCATGGATACTAAAATTGCTTAGTAATCAATGCAACTTTTATTACAGCTACGTCGTGTTTAAATGTCTTGAGCTTATGCATAATATAGCTTTATAATGCATGAATCACTGGCGTACCAAACTGTACAGTTTAACACATGGGCCCTATATTATGCAGATAAAAATGTTGCATAAAACAGCCAAAATTCCAAAAAGTGGAATTTTCTGTTTTTAAAGGTGGATATAGATGAAAACAAGACTTGTTTGTGCTGTGGAGACTTGGATCTCGCTAAATGCACAGAAGAAGAGGCTGCGCTGAAGCTATACCACCTGAAGTCCTGCAGTGCTTCTCACCTTCTTCTCAAGGTACCCTGCGTGCACTGCTTAACATGACTGCTTTGATAATGTCCACACTTGTGTGACAATGGAGTGCTGAGGTGACTGCTGTGTTTACTGTGAAAAATTCTGCTATTTTTCTGGTCTTTCACACTGGTCAGAAGCTCTTTATGGTTCTGTAACATGTTTTTTTTTCTCACCTCTGGGTTTTGACCAGTGCATTGCTGATCCAGTGTTCAGTTCTTGTGTTTTCTGTGTTTTATGCAACCAAAACTACAGCTGAATTTGGACAAGATTGCATGGGTAAATATGGTGTAAATTTTAGCTAATGGTCTGATGCCTTTACTGGTCTTTTGTTCTTCTCAGCTTCTCTTGGCTTACAAATTTCTAAAATACAACTTCCAAACAACATCATCTTCAAATATAAAAGTGCTTTAACGTTTCTTTAATGGTGATTATCTCACATCTGGATTTCCCACAGAAAAGTTAAGAGGAAGGTTATAGTTCTTGGGTGAATAAATGGACTGTCTGAGCAGTATTAAAACCTTTTGGATCTCTCTGTCAGGACACACAGTAGGGCAGAACAAGCTTTTGCAAATTACTCCTGTCTTGGAGATTATCTGTCCTGAAGACTTCGTCATGTATGTTTCTAAGAAGTAACTGTCATGGTCATCCTTGTGTTTTCTGTTTGGTTTTGGTTTAGATTGTTATTATCATTATTGTTATTATCATTATGGTTATTATAATTATGGTTATTATCATTATTGTTATTATTTTGACATTTACAACTGCCTTGATTTAATCTTTTAATTTCCATAATCTTCATGTTCTTCAGAAAGTTCTCTTTGCTCTTTGTGCCCTGGATGCTCTCACTGCCACCATTTGCTTGGTAGCGGCTGCCCTGCATTACTTACAGATTTTTGCAACAAGAAGATCTTGCATAGTAAGTGAGCCCAGGGAGTTGCCCGCTATAAGCAGCGGTACTAACAGTATTACCAGATTACACAGTTCAGCAATTTTTTTATATCTCACAAGGTTTTTAACAGGAGTCTCATTTGATTAGGGTGAATCTCAGATGGAAGACCAAGGTCACGTTTTTGATCCTGATGATTTTGTCTTGCCTGCGCTGCCTCCCTCCTATTTGGCAACTTCTTATACTCAACAAACAAGTTGCAGGTAAGCCTCTACAAGCTCTTCCTGTCTTTTAGTGTCTTTGGGAACACTGCATAATCT